CTAGATGGGCCTTTATCTGAGAAGCAATACATTTCTCCAATATTTTAGAAATAAAACTTAAGTTAGAGACTGGCCTGTAATTTTTAAAAACATTAGGATCCAGTGTAGACTTTTTAATTAAAGGGGTAACATAAGCTTGTTTGAAAACGTTGGGAATAGTAGCGGATGATATACAAGAATTAATAATATTGGTAAAAACTGGAATAACTTCGTCTAGACAGTCCTTAAGAACAGAAGTCGGAACAGGATCTAATGAACAAGATTTAGGAGCAGACGATTTAATTAGCTTTAAAACAAAAGATTCACTAACCAAGTTAAAATTTTCTAAATAAACAGGATTTTCTAACTTATCAAAATCATGAGCGTTAAAGTCAATAGTTTTATTTAAATCATCAAGTTCAGTTCGTATTTTCTGTATTTTTATTTGAAAGAAATCAGAGAATAAATTTGCAAGTTCAGTGTCATTATCATTGTTGAACTAAAACCAAACTAACAATTGAGTTTTGAATTTTAATTGTTTTCATTTGTGTTAGTGTAGTATTTAGGACAATATTTATCACTAGACATGTGTCCAGATTACATGAACGATTATTTGTTATTAACTTGCAGTCAATAAGGGGGGAGTGTGTACAAGTTTATAGGGTTAATGCCATTCATTCTCAGTTAAGGGGAGAAAACTCCTGTTTTAAGAATGCTTTAGTTTAGAGATTATGTTGACTTCTTTCTAGAAAGTTCCAATCCGCCATTTGCTTGTTACCCATATGTAAATCTTTACTGTATAGTATCAATAAAACCCGATTCAAAATAGACCCGAATAACAGAATTAGAGGCAGCTTTCTAGAAACCTGTCACAACAAGATCAATTCAGATCACATCCGTAAGGACAGACTTGATTTACCTATATTTGGATATTGGAGACACAAGTATATGTCAATTCCCATATCCACATTGGAGCTTATTTACCATTAAGCATTGAACCAATAATTGTTACATTAATTGTCTGCTGTAAGTTATGTTGATTATTGTTAACCAAAGAATAGAGAAATATTAACAACCAACAAACTTGTCTTCATTTAGTTAACAACGCAGATCCAAGAAAATACACAAAAATAGCACTTGTACAGTAGGATAATTGATATTTCATAATCAAAATTTTTCAAAATTTTAACCTATGTCCCACATGACGAAAATTGAATGTGAAAATGGGTATATTTTGTACATTTTCAGTGTGCATTGAATTTCGAGACTGGATATTTGGAAAAGTATATATCCCATCGACTCAGAATCTTTTGTAAATTGCTTAATGCTATGGCAGCTTACGTACCTTAATCTACGGGACTAATGTTCGATCTCTTAAGAGACAAATAGTTTTGTTAATAGTTCTTTAATATTGTTCAGATTGATTTTTTAATTATACTATTCAAAAAAAGTAGGGGATATTTGATTTTTAAGTGTTATTAAAGTCACCTAATGAAACTGACGAAGAAACAAATGACAAAATGAAATGAAGTTCACATTCATCGATTTATTCCAAATGATCGTTAGACTAAGTAAGGCACAGACTGACCATTATAAGGGTAAAATGATACCCGGGGTCAAACAGCAAAGTTACCACAGCATCACAACCAAGTCAGTAACGGGTAAATCCTCCTCTGTTTGCCAAACAAGCATTGATCCGACGTGGCATACTCCTAATGAGACGTCTAAGGTCATTTTGGTCCAGATTGTCCCATTCCTGTTGCAACGCAGCAGCAAGTTCTTGGACATTGGCAGGACGTTGTTGACGTTGACGTAACCTCTGTCCAAGCATGTCCCAGACATGCTCGATGGGGGAGAGGTCGGGACTCAGTGCTGGCCAAGGTAATGTGGTGATGTTCTGTTGTTGGAGGTAACCTGTAACGATCCTGGCCCTGTGACATCTTGCGTTGTCATCCTGGAAGATGAAACGGCGGCCATGACGTCGTGCGAACGGCACAACATGGACTGCCAAGATGTTGTCCCGGTAGTACTGGCCTGTAACACGCCCTGCAACAACATGTAAAGCCGTTCTTCCAGCAACAGTGATGCCTCCCCACACCATAACAGAACCACCCCCAAATCGATCATGTCTGATGACGTTAACGTCTTGGAAGCGCTCGTTTTGACGACGCCACACCCTCCTACGTCTGTCCAAAAAATCAACAGTGAACCTTGACTCATCTGAAAACATCACATTGCTCCAGCGTCGATTATCCCAGTGTTGACGATCCCTACACCAACGACGTCTTGCCTGAATGTGATGATCTCTCAAACAAGGGATCACGCGAGGACGTCGGGTGCGAAGGTGACCCCTATGCAGTCGATTCCGAATCGTCTGGCCACTCACTCTCACACCAGTGTCTGTTTGAAGATGAGCGCTGATCTGATTTGCTGTGATGACACGATTTCTCAAGGCCAAGGTACGGATAAATCGATCCTGGGCTTGAGTTGTCGCCCTTGGTCGACCTGAGCGTGGTCTGTCCTGTACAGATTGTGTATCACGGTATCTGGACCATAGCCTGCTTATGACAGACTGAGAAACATTCATCGTCCGCGCCACAACCGCCTGTGTTGTGCCGATCTGTAGCATGCCAAGGGCACGTAACCTTTCATTTTGGGTAAGCCGACGCATATCAAAATTTGTTTTCTGGTCACTAAAACAATTAAACTGATGTTTCCACCCTGGAATTCAATGCCACAATGACTGTAACATTCAAAGTCAGAGTCGTGCAAATCTTGGGTTGGACCCCCATGATGATCCCAAGCATCACCTGCATTCCATGCGGTAGCTATTGGTGCGTTTGGGCGTCACATGTAACTGGAAATGTTTCTTCTGTTAGGTTCTATAGTGACTTTTTTCGTAGTCATTTGCATATTTTAGTATTATGCCCCCAAAATCAAATATCCCCTACTTTTTTTGAATAGTATAGTACGAGAAAATTGAAATACAGTAAACATATACGTGGCATATTTCTTACTCTTTTCAGGTACTGTAGATGTAAATAAACTTTTTTTCCTTTTCATTTTCACTTGTACGAAAAGATTATATTATGGTTAAATTGCCAATGGATTAAGTAACTTGCAAATGGATTAGGTGTTTTAAGTAATGTATTCCATTAAATGTGTGTCTAGTGTCTATTAAACATGAATTTCAAGTGTATCTAATATACGGGACAGTGTCCGCTAATCTACGGGACAAAAGTAATTTATATAATTATAGCATTCTAGTCAAATTTTTAGAAGACGGGCACTTGCCCCGTGAAAATGAAATGGTTTCCATTATTGATTCAGGTAGTGTTTTAAACATTTTGAATTGATATATTTAACTGAAGACATCGCAAAAGCGAGATATAGTAATTAAATGGAATTTTATTGTGGTTCATTGTTTGAATAAAGTTGATATTCTGAGAACCTATCGAATTCATCATTGTAATTTGAATTTATTTCAACAAGTTATCATGTCTAGCGAACTTACAAACCAAAATTACATTATTAATCATAAAGACGACTCTGTACATAACCTTCTAATGACCACATGTTCAAATTAAATGTAGCAAAAAATAATTCTATTGCTGAACTAATATATAAACGGAATAACATGAAAATCTCATCAAATGTTGAAAATATTTTGGATTTTACTCGCCACAATATATTTCTTGCTGGTAACATTATCAAAATTTGTTTGTCTTATTGAAAATATTTTACTATATTGTTGCTCCAATTGTCATAAGCAAAAATAATGAACTGCAAATAATCAAAATCATTGTCAACTGGTTATCTAATACGATCAGTCATCACCATCTTCATCAGACTCAACGATTTCTTTGTTCTGACAGGATTCACCATTCTTTCCACTATTGACACTAGTATCAGAAAATATATATTATTTTTGCATGCATGGTCAGGCTGCGATACGACGTCTTCGACTTTTGGACAGGGCAAACTTTTAAACTTGATCTTAATACCACGAGAAATGATTATGTTGTATTACTGCGTCCAGTGTTTAGAAAATGAACCATAATTAGATATACACACGTCATTATTTTCGTTTTTTTGCATATTTTTTCATTGAAAATCGGATACCAAGTATGAAACTGGCTGCCATGGTAACCGGACGATAAAATTAATGGCTTTTTCGGATTCTGTGACCCAGAAAACCAATATTTTGACACCATACAAAGTAACAATGTCAAAGAAAAAATACGATATATTGTTTTTTCCCAAAATTTGGATACCAAAACTAAAAATGGCTATAAATTTTTTTGCCTGAGGCCGATTTTTGGGGACTTTTGTCCTAAAGTCATACTCACATATACCTTTCATAAAAATCAAGAATCATTCGTTTCGCAATTTTTTCCACAGCTTGGAGGTTCTCCTACCAGCCTTCACTAAAATGTTCCTTTATATTGTACAGGCATTCACACGGATTGACACCCCACTGTTTAGCAGTCAAAAGTTGCCCAGTAAAATTGACTGGGAGGCGATTTCAGTTTCGCCAAAGATTCAATAGGACGGTTCCTGAACGTACAGCGCGAGTGTAATGAGACCTACGTTCAGAGCTGAACTACTTTTGTAGCAACAGTTTATGATTTACAAGTTGAAAGGCTTTCCCAAATAAAAGAAAATACCTCCACCATAGAAGATATTTATTTACGGAGTCATACATAGGCTATTTTCAGTAATATTGAGTTAACAACTTGACTCCTTTAACATCTGTTGTTTTTATAATACTAGGGATATGAAATTGAGCTTGATAAGGCATATATGATTCTTAACAAATTTTAGTCATAGTCATAGCTAAATTTATAAATTGCTGTAGGCCTACTATAACTAAGTACTAGACTAGAGTAGCCTACTACAGTACTAGTAACTAGTACAACTACTAACAGTAGGCTACTACCAACCAGTAAATTACTGACATTTTCTGTATGTAAAGTGGATGTTTGAATTTATACACCAGCAGGAAATGGAATTATATCTACCTCTTCTATGTCCATGTATGGACCAGCGCCTTCGGGAAACATTTCGTCTGCTACTATTGCTGGCTTCATTTTCTACCTCTTCTCTAACACTACAGCAATCTTTTCTTCCAGGAAAAAAATAATTCAGAAACTAATCAGAGTTATTCCCCGTAAATTATTTGCGGGTAGACCAATCACCGGAATTCATTTACAATCACCGGAATTCATTTACAATCACCGGAATTCACCGGAATTCACTTCTAAAATCCCCGATTCCTCCCACAAAACTGACTTATTTTAAATGTATAATACATTTTGATCTCTCCACAGGCCAGATAAAGGCGCTGTAGGTGAATTTATTTGAAAGACTACCGGAATTCATTTCAAATATATGCATCATAATAATACTTTGCGTCTAATTACCCAATAACTTCAAAATAACAGCCAATAACCCCAAAAATGTTGACTGTGGAAACACAATATAACAATTTAGTTGAATTTAAAGGAGCTAAATCGCTAACATTTGGGACCTAGAAATTGACAAAAGTAGGTCGCAACACATATAATACTGTAGCATGAATGTATATAAACTGATTTACATTCAATGGTTTTCGTATTTACTCCAATTTCAAATCAGTTATGTTCGGCGAAATAAGCCAGCAGTCTCAAGCGAGTGCAAATTCCTAGCGTCTGGCTATTCCAGTCTACATACGCCGTTTGATTTGGTGCAATGTGTCTAGCCTCGTCCATCGAGTCTCTTGATACAACTGGGGCTGAAGCGCATTATAATTATGGTACGCGATTCGTATACCAATGGTAAAATGTTAATTTTGTCTTAAATATTGGATATCAAAAGTCCATCTTTTTCCGGTAAGATCACAACATGAATGTTAATTTAATTTGACAAATAAATCGTGTTTTCAATGTTGAAGATTTTGGATGATATTGAGTTAGAGACTTAGCTACTTTAAGAAGCCTCGCTGATTTGTTCCCAAATCGGAGGTTCACGGGAGATAACTCGTGAGTCGTGTATGGACTAAGACTAGTAATTATTTCCCTTTATTTCATGATGGACGAATGTAGTGCGAGTTATAAATATACATTTCTCCCTTAATTTTTTTCTCCCCTCTTCCTGCATTTTTGGGTTGACGTTTTGGTCTAGAATTGGAGAAAAGGGATCAAATTTGCAATTTCATAGCAGTTTTGGGTAATACTGATGATATTACAGCGGAGGGATAGGGGGTGTAAAGTGTCTTTCTGCAGAGCAGTCATTGTGTCGGAAGTGAGATTTTCACCCCAGTCAACTTCAAATCCGTGTAGCAAAAAATCTAAATGGTCAACCCCCTACAAAATTATGATGAGGAGATTGCCAAATGTTGTCCCCATTGTGCCTATAAAGATTGGAACCAACGGAATGTTGAGAAAAAAGCTACAGCCTGTGATGTTACAGCCATTTAACATTGAAGTCAATGGGCAAATAATTGCTAGTCTGAGTCCTGGTATGTGATTTTTGTTGACAAGAAATTAATGTATATTTTCGTTGCAATTCGTTGTAATGTATTGTAATAAAAGATTGGTAATAGTTTATTAAAATAAACAATTTAATATAAGAACTACACTTATTTATTTATAATTGCAAATTGCGCCGATTGTCACTTTCGGTCATCGACATCGTAACTTGTTTAGAAATAAATAAATTCTCATTCTCATGTTATCATAGTTTGTTATGTTTTTTGGAGGTGTGATTGTATGTGATTTGTCACCTTTTACAATGACAATGAACTGGTGAACATTCTATATGGACACAGATCACTAAAGATTTCCCCATTGACTCCAATGTTAATTCTCATATCTTAGACCGGCTCTAACTTTTTCCCAAATTTTCGTTGGGTAGAACGCTTTCTACCACAGATGGAGCAACATGTGGCAACCACTTGCCCAAAAGCACGTATGAGGTTCTTCATGAAAAACTTGAGATACACAAGCTGGAAGTAGAGACAAGTAAACATGCAATTTCAGGCCCTACATTTCAACCTAACCAACCTCTCAACTCTTGTATCCTTCCGCATCACAATTATGAATATTCACCAAAACCTGGCAGAAAATGTATTTTCAAACCCTTTTCCTCGATTCTACACCAAAAAGTCAACAAAAATCGCCATGCAAAAGGAGGAAAAGGGAGAGGAAGACTAAAAATAGCTTTGGCCCTTGTTTCGTGGGTGACGGCGTAGGAATATTTGGTGTAGGAATATTTGGTGATCTGTGTCCTATATAGGGGTGAAACTTCAGGTATTTTATTTTATTTTATTTCCTTCCCATGTGTTCTGGCAACATGCAGGTGAAAGAAAATCAAAATCAAAGAATAACTGTAAAAATGATGGCCCTTTAAGTACACATGCTGCTTTATGTGCACTGGTGCATCTCAGGTCCATAGGCCTTTTGTGCTAAAATTTAAAAATCTTTCTTATTAAAGGCAGTATCTGAGTTCTGTGAAAAAATTAGACAAGTTACAAAGAAACTACATAGGAAACACTCATAATTTGGAATTTTTTTCAAAAATATAATTTTTTACTGCCATGTGATGAAAAATGTACAAAATTTACATGTAGCATCTCTCAAAATACCAATAATTTTCCACTTTTTTAAATATCCGGACGGACAAGAAATATATTTTTAGAATCTGTGGACAATATGCAAACAGAAAAAATGCAAACCAGTTGCAATGATTGTAATATTAGAGATCTATACTGAAACATGTATGCCTACCCCCTGAACATGCCACTGATTGAATTAATCTAATCTATGGTTGCAGAACTTACATTACCAAAGGAATCTGTCTAACAGCTATGTTTTACCATCCCTGGCTAACATATGCACATATAAACTAAAATAGGTGCAATAAATATGAATTATGGTTAAAAATAGGCCTTGATGAATGAAAAAAATGCCATATTTGGTCTATGATCACCCCTCTCTAACAGAAGGGTCACAGAATACACAATTTTCACAAATTTGGGAATATTTCAATGTTTCCAACATCTCAAACCTCAGAGGCATATTACAAATTTGTATTGCAATCCTTGTGCTGAAGCAAGATGTCTGGAACTTTACATTAATTTCCTGAAAAAAGAAGTAAAAAAAGTAGTCATGACAGAGTTGACAACATAAAAAGAGGCCCGAAAAGGAGAAAAATTAACATTTTATTGTTTTATAGGCGACATAAATGCAGCAAACACCACAAATGCTGGATTTTGATAAGAAAATATTGAACATTAAACTGACATTTACACATCTACACCAGTTTTATATCTGGGTCTGATCTCATTGGCCTGAAATGCCTCAGGGTTCTACGTTTGACTCTGAACAAATAAGGGTTAGAAATCCTTGAAATGCACAAAAAAAATATTTTTGGGTGAAAAATAACATTCTTAGCTGTAATTCAACCACAAATTCCAATTAAGATCATTTACATGTCAACACAGGTGCATTTAAATCCCTCAAAACACATTAATAGAAAAGGGTGGGGTGGGGCATTTATTGCCTCTCTAAACAGAATGATGGAGTAAAAAATGTCTAGAAAGGCTGGGATATTGCTTCCTACATGAAGGAAATGCAAGAATTTAATGTTTCAAAGAAGAAAAAAATGCTTATTCTGGGTAAAATAGTGGCAAAATTGATCCAACCCCTGTTTTGAACATTTTGTACAAACCCATCTGCTGTACATTATTAACTCAGTGTTACCAATTTTCAATTTTCTGTAGGAAAGCTGGAGCTATTTCTAAACCTGACAAACATGTAGATCCCATCTAAGTTATATTAGCAAAGAAAATATGGGCATTTTTAGACATTTTGACTCATTTTAGTAGTCATGAAAATATTAATTTCTACATCGAAATGGGGGGAATCTCAAGATTTTTTGTGAATATTCCTGATCTTTAGACAAAATTTGGTGAAATTTCAATACTGTTCACTTTATCTGTGCTTTCTTAGACTGAATAAGCCAACATTGGGCATTAGAATATTTTACTTACTGTTAAAAATTCAATAAAAATTGAAAATTGAGAAATTTGCAGTAAAATCACAATTTTTCTTCAAAACTTTGATTTTTTTTTTTTTAATTAACTTTTTTTACTTTTTCTGTAGCCAAACTATTTTATTCATATTTTCTGAGAATTTAATCTTCATATTTTCAAAACTAAGGCATATCAGTGACAGCCTTATCACACACAGACAGGACACATATCACTAAAGATTTCCCCATTGACTCCAATATTAATTCTCGTATCTTAGACCGGCTCTAACTTTTTCCCAAATTTTCGTTGGGTAGAACGCTTTCTACCACAGATGGAGCAACATGTGGCAACCACTTGCCCAAAAGCACTTGAGATACACAAGCTGGAAGTAGAGACAAGTAAACATGCAATTTCAGGCCCTACATTTCAACCTAACCAACCTCTCAACTCTTGTATCCTTCCGCATCAAAATTATGAATATTCACCAAAACCTGGCAGAAAATGTATTTTCAAACCCTTTTCCTCGATTCTACACCAAAAAGTCAACAAAAATCGCCATGAAAAAGGGGGAAAAAGGAAAAGGGAGAGGAAGACTAAAAATAGCTTTGGCCCGTGAATATTTGGTGATCTGTCTCCTACTATTGGCATATTATTAAAATTACACTTCATTTAATCTGGACTGCTTCATGCTACAACGGATTATCTATGAAAACATCCAAACCATTATTGATGAGACTTTATAATTATTTGATTGGCTGATTATTACTAAGTTAATTTTCGAATAAACTTAGCTCATCTACATTCGAGAAATGTTCGGTTTGACATTTTACATGGATTACTGCTGTGTTTTTATTGTGTTTCCCCGAGTTGACCATCTGGAAATATCGTTTTACAGCAGATATATTCTAGTATTAATATTAATGCAAAATATAATTAAATACAATTGTCTTGGGGCGAATTCCGATTTTCTCAAAGTGAATTCCGGTGTTTATTAAATACGAAGGTCTAAAGTGCGAATTCAGATATTTTGTAAGTGAATTCCGGTTTTTTAAAGTAATTTATTATTATTGTAAAATATTTGTGATCGAGTACGAAGGTCTGAAGTGCGAAATCCGATATTTGAAAGTGAATTCCGGTGTTTACATGTTTTCAATGTGAATTCCGGTGATTTTCGGTGTTTAAAAGTAATTTAT